GTGGCATGCACGTGTAATCCCAGCTACTCAGGAGGCTGAGGCAGACGAATCGCTTGAACCTGGAAGGCGGAGGTTGCAGTGAGCCAAGATTGCACCACTGCACTCCGGCCTCGGCAACAGAGCGAGACTCCATCTCAAAAAATAGATGATCGATCAATCGATAGATAGATAGATAGACAGATAAGCAAAGCGAGGCTGACTAGCCCAAGTCCACATGAATCCTGAGGGGCGGAGCTGAGAGTCTGACAGCTGAGTCAGGCCCCAAAGATCATATGACATCACAGAATAGCTGTTGATGAGCTTTGGATTTGATGATGAGCCTCCCAGCAAACTGGGGAGAAGGAAAACAGAACATGTTACCCGATTGCTCACTAGACAAGAAAAAACCAGGTATTTCTTTGAAAGGAAGCAAAGCCCCTTCCTACCACTGAATTCATTTGTCTTTTCTTGAGTGGGAGTTGGAAGACAGCTTGTGAGGTGGAACCTACTAGGTCTGCCCAAGTTGCTTGCCCCGCTAGGTGTGCCCAAGTTGCTTGCTCCTGTGGCATCTATGTGAGGAGGCTGCCAGGTAAATGCCCCAGTCCCCTGAAGGAGGGTTCGCCCTCAGTGAACGTTGTCCGCCGTGTCTGTGTGTGCATGTGCGCGTGTGCATGTGTGGGTGTGCGCGTGTGCACGTGTGTGTGCATATGTGTCTGTGTTTTTCTCTGTCTCACTTTCTCTTTTTTATCTGACCCTCCCCTCACTGCATCTGCTTTGTTTGTTTTTTCCACCTCTGTTCCTCCCTGGAGGAGGTCCCTGCTGTTCGAAACTCTGCCAGTTTTTAGGAAGTGCTGCTGTGTCAGAGCCTGCACACGAGACCCCAGTGGGCCAGGACTGACTTCCTCCCCACACAGAGCTGGGCGGGGCAAGCAGGAAGGGGCCTGTTACAGTCAAGGTGACGCATCCTTGCCAGGCCAGCCCGAGCAGCAGCTGGGTCCACAAGCGACAGGAGCACGGGTCCTCTTTCCCCCAAGGGCGTCGGAATGGACCTGTGCCACCACGGTAAGCACCTGGGCTCGACCTCTCTGGGCCTCGGCGTTCTGTCTTTTGGAATGGGGGCAGCGGCCCCTGCCTCACAGGGTCCTAGATAAGGGGGTACGGCACAGGCAGAAATGCAGCTGCAAGAAGCAAACATTTGCAGGCTCGGCCGAGGTGTCCAGTTGTGTTCCAGAGGCTGGGCACACAGCAGTGAGCAAAGGGACGCTGTGCCCACCCTCACGGGCTTGTGCCCTAGAGGTCATGTCACATGTCCGTTGATGGCAGGTAGGATGAACTGTAAAGCAGGACCAGGAAGAACGGAGCACGTGGGGGAAAAGGCCCCCAAGAGGAGATGCTATCTAATGAGGGATCCCATATAATGAGGCAGATGTCAGCTAAGGAGGTTTCTAAGGAACAAACATTCCAGCCGGAAGGCACAGCAGGTGCAAAGGCTCAGAGGTGGACTGGGAAAAGCGCTCTGAGATTAAGACCATGATGTGATGTTGGTGATGGCAATGTTTGTCTGGGTGATACACGACCCCTTCTTGGCCCTCTGGGGTTGGGGTGGTCTCTGGGGAGGCTGAGGACACTGCCTAGAGCCAGGGGAGGGCCAGGAGGGAGCCACAGAGGGCCTGACTGAAATCCTCCCTGGCTGCTAGGACAATGTGTGTGGGAAGAAAGGAGGGGAAAGGAGGCTGCAACGTTGGAGGGGAAAGAACAGGCAGGGTTGTGTTTTGGGAGGCCAATGGGAGGCCCGGAAGAGGGGCCAAGTTTCTGCAGCCTGGATGGCAGCGTGCTCCAGAGCTACAACTGTTCTGCTGGAATTCCAGAACATAAGGGCCGGTGGGAGCTGCCTGCTCCCCAGGTCCAGGGGACTCCACCTCATCCAGGAGCACCCTTGCTTCAGACACACCTAACGTGGAGCATCTGGGCCCCACCCACTCCACCCCCAGATGGACGCCTTGGGCCACAGGGAACAGTTAGGGAACCATTGATCCATTTCAACAGCCCCCAGTGGCCGAAGGGAGAAAAGAGATCAAGGGAGGAAAACAGCCTCTCTAAGGCAGGGAGGGAGCCGAACTCTGTCCACTGACTCGCTCTCTGACCCCTGCCTCTCCTGTGGGCTTTGGGGGCTCCCACAATCACAACGCAGTGAGCACAGCTGGCGGGGCACCTGGCAGGCACAGGGAGACCCCGAGAGGGGCAGCTGGCTCAGGCCTCAGCAGATGTGAGGGTGGGACGAGGCAGAGAGGGTACCCACTGAGATGCAAGCCCAGCAGGGTGCTTTGTCCTTTGGGGTCCTAACATACTGAGGTTACAGGGGTGGCTCTCTCCATGGTGCAGATACAGAAACTGAGACCCCAGAGGTGAACTGGAGGCAAGGACTTACTTGCTTGACATCACACGGCCAGTCCGTGGCAGAGCAGGGATGAGAACCTGAGGGAGAAAGCCCCAGGTTGGCCGGGGCTGTGCAGAGGGCAGAGGAAGGGCCTCGGGGGCCAGAAGGGGCGTCTCTGCTTTGCTTCAGCCGGTACTAGGGAGGAAATGGATTAAATGGGGTCAGTGCAGCAAACACTGGTTCCCCACTGAGTGGTTGGTCTTTTCGTTCATTCACTCTGTAACTGATGTTCCTGTGTGCCATGCAGTGCTGGGGACAGCAGTGACCCGGCCATGGGCCTAACCCTGGGGGACAGGTGTGAGACTGAATGTTGGGGGTGGGGTGGAGAGGCAGGAGACAGATTCTGCAGGACCCTGACCCAGCTGTGCAAATGGACACAGACCTAGAGATAAGAGAAAGCACTTTTCTCACTGGGGAAGAGGAGATCTGGGAAGACCCCCTGGAGGAGTAGGCCAGGGGGAGGGAGGAAAGGTCATTTCCCTGTTGCCCAGAGTGGGTCTTAATTGAGGCTTCTCCATGGCCCGGTGACTTCCCCTCTCTGAGTTCTGATTATTCGTCATGTCAATGTGGGTCCCCTCATCCTGGCCTGCCTGGGGAAGCGGGGATCGGGAATTAGCCGGATCTCGCTGGGGTTCCAGGTCTACACCATCCTGCCAGTGGTCATGACCAATCTCTTCCTCCTGTGGAGCCTCAGTTTCCCACCAGGGCTGCCTCCCCCGCTCTCCTGCGGTGGGCCTGTGTCTGGAAGCAGGTGAGGCGTCCCCCCACCCCCCGCCAGGGCCTGCCGGGGAGGTGAGAGGGCCAGGCAGCACAGATGAGCACTGCGCTGGTGCAGAGAAGACAGGCCAGGCAGGCGCTGTGAAAACAGAGGCAGCTGGGCTGGGGGAGAGGAAGCCGCACTCCGCAGAGCCTGTGGGGCGTGTGGGGCTGGGGCGGGGAGCAGCTCCGCCCACACCCCCTCTGCCGCAGGGTCCCTCCCACTGAGACTTTAGGGCCCTGAGATGGTGTCCTCCTCCTGCCTGGAAAGGGGAAGTGAGGCCAGCTGTCCTGGAAGCAGGGCTGCAAGCTCAAAATTTCTAAAAATACGACGGGAAAGAGGAAGGGCAAAGGGGAAGTGAGGAGGAGCCGGGGAGACGGGCACCCTCGCCGGCCTGGGTGCAAGGGCAGCCCCAGCCTGGGGGCTTGGGGTGGGGGTCCGAGGGGTGCCTTGCGAGGTTGCGAGAAGCACAGAGATAAATGAGGAGGAAACGGGGTCGGCGGTGGTGGCGGCGAGAGCAATTTTATTGTTTTTGTGTGTTAGTAGTAGTTTTAAAAATACCTCTCCTAGCCAGGCGCGGTGGCTCACGCCTGTAATCCCAGCACTTTGGGAGGCTGAGGCTGGTGGATCACCTGAGGTCAGGAGTTTGAGACCAGCCTGGCCAACATGGTGAAACCCCGTCTCTACTGAAAATACAAAAAAAAATTAGCCAGGCATGGTGATGGGAGCCTGTAATCCCAGCTACTCAGGAGGCTGAGGCAGGAGAATCGCTTGAACCCGGGAGGCGGAGGTTTCAGGGAGCGGAGATTGTTACACTGCACTCCAGCCTGGGTGACAGAGCAAAACTCCGTCTCAAAAAAAGAAAGAAGAACAAAAGAAAGAAAGAGAAAGAATAATACGTCTCCCATGAGCCTATACCAGTGCCTGAAACTCCGTTCTCATCAGGCTTAGAATCAGAAGTGGCCTCTCTCAGGCTGTGTCCTAGTGGCCCTCCCTGAACCTCAATGTCCTAAACTCTGAAATGGGGAGAAATCGCCACTTTTTAACAAATAGGGGAAGGGTGAAAAGGCTCCACGTGCACCATGTCAGGATACAGCAGGCCTGGGGCCATCGGCGCTGTCATGTGGGTTCAGATGTTTGGACCGGTTGCCACCTGCTAGGGACAGGACCCCGTCAGAAGCGGACAGGGGACTGAGGATTCACAAACACACTGTCACCCACAAGGGAGTACGAAAGGAGTGGTGTGGGGTAAAGATGCAAGCAACCTGCCCACTATCCCCATGCAATCCCACTCCCCTGGGAACCGTGCCTCAGTTTCCCCAGCTCTACAATGTTTGCTTTGCAAGGGCAGGGTGGGGGCGATTGCAGGCATCATTCTGTATCTTGTCTTTATTCTCAAACATATACCCCTGTCAGAAACCCAGGTTTAGCGTCCGATAGGTGTTTGACGATTCGTATGGACTGATCAGGCTTTGGAGGCTCTACATCAGGGCTGTGGCCTCTGAGCCCCAGATGGGCCCTGATGTGAATCCCAGCCCTGCCACCCTCCAGCTGTGTCACCTTCGGCAGGATACTTTGCCTCTCTGAGTCTTAGGGGCCTCGCCTGTAGGACGAGCCTGGAAATACCTGCCTGTCGGAGTGGTCGTGGGATTCAATGGGAGAGTGGATGGGAAGAGCCGGAGTGCGCAGGGCCTGGCACACCGCAGGTGCTCGGCCGGCATGCCTTCCTTAACCAAGGGCGTGGCTTGGTTATGGAGCCATGCAGATCCCAGAAATGCTGTGGCGAATGGCAAGGGGTGGGGGTGGGGATGGCTCCTAGACAGAACCCAGGAAGACCCCTGAAAGGGGATCTGGAGTAGGAGATAAGGAGGAGCTGCTGGCAGAGGAGGAGGAAGGGCATTCTGGGCGCAAGGAACAGTGGCGCAAAGGCTTTGGGAAAGTGTTGGAAACAGATGCTGGAAATAGATGCTCGGTGCCACAAAGAAAATCAGCACGGAGGCAAAGGATCTTTCAGCAACACAATGTTTCCTTCCTGAGCTGCAGGAAGGGGACCCTCACTAGCCATCGTGCCACAAGAGTACAAAGAACAAAGGAAAACACACAAATGTATCCCTTACGCATTTGGGGTGGTCCTCACTGCTGCGTCTGATCTCCGTTGGCTGGAGCCAGACCTCGCAATCTAAACTAAAACCCGACTGGCTAGCAACTTAAAACTTTTCTAAACAGGTAAAGGCCATGGAGAGCTGGGACATGCCTGTGAGCACATCCAGCACAGATATCTTGGTTAAAGTACAAGGACATAGAATGGACTACGTGCCTGTAAGCACGGCCTGTCTAACAGCTACAGAGGATAGGGCTTCACAAAGTCATTAGCACAGGTTAAAAAGGAATTTTTCTACTTCCCCACAGAAGGCAAGAGCTCAGGAGAGTGAAGGAAGGGCAGCCAGGGACACTGAACATGGAGCTGGGGCGGGGGAGGGGCGCAGTGTGAGAGGAGCACGGAGGGGACACACCAGCGGGACTGGGGGGATTTTGGGTCTTTGTCCCCAGGACAATGGGATGGCGTGCGAAACTGGACCAGAATGGGTAGGAGAGGCAGGGAAGTATCCGAAGGCCCTGAAGTCCCCCCGAGCAAAGTGACAGTGGCCAGGACGATGGTGGGGCCACAGAAGGGGAATGAAATAGGACTTGGTGATGGAGGAGATCCAAGGGGTGAGAGCCAGGTGGGTGTCGGCTGCCTCCTGGGGAACTGTGGACCATTTCCAGGGCTCAGGAATTCAGGGAGAGGATGGGGAGGAGGGGCCATTCTAGAAGTTCAATCTGGCACAATGACAAGAGCGGTGGTGATCAGTACACAGGGGGACGGTC